AAGGCCATTCTGGTCTACAGAATGAATGCCAGGACAGGCTCCAAAGCTACACAGAGAAACCCTTGAAAAACCAAAACCAAAGTACAGCAACAACAAAAAAGGGACTAGGGCTATAGCTTAGACACAGAACATTTTCTTAGCATTTTTGAGGCCATGAGTTTAAACCCCGTGCCCTCTCCCCCAGTGTTTCAGTTGCTTTGCTCATTGCTCTGACAAGGGCAATTTAAGGACAAAAAAGAGTTCATTTGGGATCAGTTTGAATATAGTCTATCATGGTCTGGAAGTCATAGTAGCAGGAGCATGAGAGAGCTGCTCATATCTCCTCCCTAGACAGAGGACAGAGGTTAATGCTGTTGATCATCTCGTCTTTCTACAAAGTCTGGGACCCCAGCCTATGAGATGGCGCCACCACTTTCAGCTGAGTCTTAAATCCTCAGTTTCTGGAAGCACCCTCAAAGACTCACCAATAGTGTTTGTCCACAGAGATTCTACATCCAGTCAAGTTGACCATAAAGATTAACCATCACACAAAAATGCATTTCCAGGAGGAACCCTTGGTAACTCCCTGGAGGCATTTGAAAAGAGGAGGGACAACAGTAGGACTCTTATCAGAAGACTGAAGATACTAAGGGTGGAGACCACAGATAGGAAGGGCACCTAGCTTCTGGCTATTGTAATGTCGTACTCCACGAGACCTGAACCTAGAGGACACATCAAATGCACACAATCGCATTGAAAATTCTAACATTTCTCCTTTAGCAGAAATATCTAAGGAGCATAACTACCAAGCTTCGGGCTCTACAGCATTGCCTCCTTTAAGTAGAAATCACTGTTGACATTGGATAACATCACTTTATGGTTGTCAAGGAGTGAAACTATTCCCTGGGTAAATGGAACAAACTCATGACTAGGCCATCACCCCATTACCCTTATCTTTCAGCTTAAAACACAGGTTCTGTTGATTTTTTTTCTCACATTTATCCTTCTCTCCAGCTTGAGTGACACTGGTTCTTCAAAGTTTCTTGACTTTCCTAGGCAATGTTAAGTTTCTTCATTGCCTTTCTATGCATAATCTTATTGTCAGACCATATATACATTTAATTGGAATAAGCTATTTAGTCCCTTCTTAACCACTCAATGATGAAAGAAAAGTGGCTCTTTAGAAAGTAATCTTGAGGGATGGAGAGATGGCTCAGAGGTAAAGAGCTCTGGCTGTTCTTCCAGAGGTCCTGACTTCAATTCCTAACAACCACATGGTGGCTCACAACCATCTGTAATGAGATCTGGCTCCCTCTTCTGGCCTGCAGGCATACATGCAGACAAAACACTGTACTAAAATTAGAAAGTAATCTTGGGCCAGGGTGTAGCTCAATGGTATACAGTACATGCTTCCTAAGTGCAAGGCTCTGGATTTCATTCCTGCACTAAAACTAATAAACAAACAAGCAAATAAACACAAAAATATGCTACCATACAGTAAGGCTCAATGAGGGTTTGAGAAAGGAAAATGACCTCAGTTCTGATGGACCTGAGGGGCCACAGGCCAGACTCACTGCATTATCAATCAAGCATTTGAATAGAAGATGACAAAGTGTATGCAGAGGAAGTCAGCTAACAAGGAGCTATATAAAGATTTAAAACACGCTCTCTCTCTTCTGCAGCCGAGCAAGATGCCCAAGGGAAAGAAGGCCAAGGGGAAGAAGGTGGCCCAGAGCCCCTCCCTCAGCAAGAAACAGGAGGCCAAGAAGGTGGTGAACCCTTTGTTTGAGAAGAGGCCTAAGAACTTCAGCATTGGGCAGGACATCCAGCCCAAACGAGACCTCACACGCTTCGTGAAATGGCCTCGATACATTCGGCTGCAGCGGCAAAGGGCCATCCTCTATAAGTGGCTTAAAGTTCCTCCTGCCATTAACCAGTTCACCCAGGCCCTGGACTGGCAAACAGCTACCCGGCTGCTCAAGCTTGCCCACAAGTACAGGCCAGAGACAAAGCAGGAGAAGAAGCAAAGACTGTTGGCCCGTGCTGAGAAGAAGGCTGCTGGCAAAGGGGATGTCCCAACTAAGAGGCCACCTGTTCTTCGAGCAGGAGTCAACACAGTCACCACCTTGGTGGAGAACAAGAAGGCTCAGCTGGTGGTAATCGCCCACGATGTAGACCCCATTGAGCTGGTAGTCTTCCTGGAAGACTGGAAGCTGGAAGCTGGGGGTCCCCTACTGCATCATCAAGGGAAAAGCCAGGCTGGGACGACTGGTCCACAGGAAAACATGTACCACCATTGCCTTCACACAGGCTAACTCGGAAGACAAGGGTGCTCTGGCTAAGCTGGTGGAAGCTATTAGGACCAATTACAATGACAGATATGATGAGATGTGACGCCACTGGGGGGCAATGTCCTGGGTCCTAAATCTGTGGCTCGAATTGCCAAGCTGGAAAAGGCAAAGGCTAAAGAACTCGCTATTAAACTGGGTTAAATGTACACTCACCGCTAAGTTTTCTGTACATAAATACAAACATATCTTCCAAAAAAAAAAAAGATTTAAAACACTGGAGCTAAATAGTGGCACTTACACCCTGGCAGTAACTAACAGCTATCTAGATGTACTCAAGGCCTGCTCAACAGGAAGGAAGCAGTGCTTGGTACTGGAAACCTAGCCAGCTAGAGGCTAGTGGGGTCACGGATCTTAATGAGAACCTACTACCCTCACTTACTAAACTCACCTAATGCTATGTGCATTCTGAATACTTACCTATATGCCCACAGATGAATGCAGCTCCCAACTCTCATCCAAGCAGCTTGTCTTTGCAACAGACAGGGATCATTACAGAAAAGCACAACTGGTCCAAATGCAGAGAATAACTGATATGGGGTGTCCAGCCTCGGTGGATACATTTGCAACACAACTTCTGCACTTAAGGCTCAGGAAACAATGCAGAAGAAGAGATGGAAAGACTAATAAGAGTCAGAGGTCCAGAAGTCACAGAAATGACAGGAAATACACCTGTGATATGTCAACACTATGACTACCTACATAAGAGCCCAACTATGACAATACGAGCAGACATGCAGATGTAGAATGGAGAAATCTCATAGGACCCCACTGCTAGACAAAGAACGATAGACAGCTAAGGGATACAGAGAGTGGGAGAAATAGTCTTCCCTCAGTGATGAGGCCCCTAATCGATTATCCCAAGTGGTTAGCACTGAGCTCATGAACATGCAGAAACACTGGAAGGGCTCAGCAGGTTGTATTTATGTATTTGTGTGTGTGTGTGTGTGTGTGTGTGTGTGTGTGTGTAACAGTAACAACTGAGGACGTTCAGAATTTTTAGAGGGCATGGGGGAGGCCTGGAGGAGTTGGAGGAAGGATGGGGAATGGAAAAAATCATGAAATTGCATTTTAATTTTAAAAAGTTAAATAATAATAATAATAGAATACTGGGGCTGCAGAGACAGCCCAGTGGCTGAGTGTGTACTGCTCTTGTTGGTACCCATCATCCACATCAGGTTACTCTGACACCAGGGGAATTCTACACCTCTGGCCTGAGTTAGCATCAGGACAAGAGTTCATATTCACACACTCCCATACAGACGGCATGGCATGTACACATTACAGACGTACACGTAGGCAAAACACCCATACACATAAAAAAGAAAGAGCTCTCTTGGAGCTTGAGAAATTAAGAAGTTCTAGACCTGCAATCAAACACTCAAATGTGACTGCCTCAAATACAAACCAATGGCCTCGTCCCCAAATAATCAAGTTTTCTAGGTATAGATCCCCACCAGGAGGAATAGCTTTTAAAGTAGTAATGTCCAGCCAAGAGAGGACAACCACCAACCCTCTGTATTAAGGAAGACAAGATGTGAGCCTGAGGTGAGTCAGACATTATGGATTGTTGCTACTAGAACTTACAGTAGAGGAGGGAGCCCCCTCACACACAGCCAGCAGGAGTCACATCTCACTGACTCCTTTTTGTTTCAGTGTGATCTCTTGGGCCAAAGGTCAGACTTGGTGGTACAGCCTTGCAGATCACTGTGAGTTTGAGGCCAGCCTGGGACTTTACAGAAGGGTTCTAGAAGGGTTACACAGTAAGAACCTGCCACAACAGATAAACCTGGAATTTCATGTGAAATTTCCCAATTTAAAAATGCTGGGAAGTGAAAAAGATCATAGGCCACATGGTGGTAAATGCACACCTTTAACCCAGCACTCTTTAGAGGCAAAAGAAGGTGGATCTCTGAGTTCAAGGCCAGCCTGGTCTATAGAGTTCCAGGATAGCCAAGGCCGTCCCTGCTTCCCTGGTTGCTTGAGGATGCAGTAGGCACGCACTTGGGGGACTTCTTTTGCCTGTTTTTTTTGTTTGTTTGTTTGTTTTTTTGTTCCACAGTTCCAAGCAGAGGAATCCTGTCTTAGGAAACCAACAAACAACAGAGCGTGCGTGCAGAGGCGGAAGGAAACCTAGAGATTGTGCTGTTGGGTGAGGGTTCATCGTTAACCTTTCAGGCAGTCATACCTCTGGCTTTAAGGAACTGAGTCCGGAATGTTAAAGAACTTATCCAAGACAACACAGGCTGGTAAACTGAATCAGAGTGAAGCTCTGCCGTTTGGAATTTAACCGAAACTCCTTCTATCTCAAAGAAAGAACACTGGGAGATGTGCTTTACAAACTGGTAAAAACTGTGGAAGAGAAAACAGGAGTCGTTGCAGGCAAAAGAAAGCCCCGAACGCGCGCCTACGGCGTCCTCCAGCCAGGGAAGCAGGAGATAAACTCAGTGCACGCGGATCTCAGGGGTTCGAGGACGGCTTAATCTAGACAGCGAGACCCTGTCTTTAAAAACAAAAAACCTCCCTCTCTCCCAAGAACAAGCCCAAGCTAACACACGGACGCGACCGGCCACGGGAGCGCAGGTATCACCCAGCGCCGGGCAGCGGGGAAGGCGGCGAGTTACGGCCTCTGCGGGCGACGCCTCGCGACTCCTGCCGTAAAGGCCGCCGCGGCGCATGCGCAGCTCCGCTCCCGTCGGGCTCCGGACGCGCTCGTCGTCGTGGTGGAGACTTGTCCTTCCTCTGGCCCGTCGTCACCATGGTGAAGCTGAGCAAAGAAGCCAAGCAGAGGCTGCAGCAGCTCTTCAAGGGCGGCCAGTTTGCGATCCGCTGGGGCTTTATTCCTCTCGTGATTTACCTGGGTCAGTGCGGGGCCGCGGGGGCCGCGGGCGGGGTCGCCGGGCCGGAGCCAGCTCCGAGTTGTTCCGTTAGCCCTGCGGGTGGTGGTGGAGCAGCCCCAGCCCTCCTCAGTCTGTACCTGAGGTAAAGGCAGGGCCTTTCCAGACTGAGCGCGGGGCCAGGCCACCCCTGGGGAGACGAGAGCGATGCTGTCAGTGGACGGAAGCTGCATCAGGTTAAAACGCCGCTGCCTCACAGCACGGTTATGACAGAAGTCGGAAGCCTAAGCTTTCTTACTTTTATAATGAAGGGGTTTGGTGGGTTTTTTTATTTCCTCCAAAGTTACTGACCCCATTTTTCAGGGAAAGAAACCGAGCCATAAAGTCATACTTGCTTGCCCGAGTGAGTGTCCAGGCGGAGATATTCACCAGTGGTTGCACACTGCTCCTGGTTGAGTAGTTTTTTCATTTTTAATCTTAGTTGCTTCATTCAGTCAAGAATGTCAAAGGAGGGCTGGAGAGATGGCTCAGCGGTTAAGAGCACTGACTGTTCTTCCAGAGGTCCTGAGTTCAATACCCAGCAACCACATGGTGGCTCACAGCCACCTTAAATGAATCTGCATGCAGGCAGAAGACTGTATACATAATAAATAAATAAAATCTTAAAAAGAAAAAAAGAAGGTAAAAGGAAAACAGCATAGGATTTTATCTCCAGCTCTCTGGGCTTGAGTACTTATTTGACATTTCAGGATTTCCATTTCACATGCTAAAGTAGGACCTCACTAGGTGCTACATCCAGTTTGCTTTAGTTGACTTGCCCTACATAGGAACAGGATAATACATTCATCGGCAGAGCCTTTAACTAGGGTAGACATTCTCCAGGCAGATGTACCTGTGAGATGTGTGTGAGCTGTGATAACGTGTATGTTTTGATAGAACTTAGATATTTTTCCTTTAGTATCATTGCTGAGACCCTGCCTCATGTAGCTCAGGCTAGCCTTGAACTCAGAGATCCACCTGCCTCTCTACCTCTCAAGTGCTTGAATTGCAGGCCTGCACCATCACATCCAGCTCTTTCCTCCTCTGTTTTGGAACAAAACCAGATAATGACATTATATAGGTATCCGGGATTAAAGCAAGTAGTTGTGATAGCCTGCTTTTTTTGTTACTTGTTTTGAGACAGCTCTGTCACTAGGTACACTAGGCTGGTCTTTGCAGCAATCCTCCTGCCCCTGCCTCATGACTTGCTGGGATTAAAGGCCCTGCTGATACTTTACTTTTTGTAGGCTGTGTTTATAGAATTCTTTGCAGCCCTCCCCCATTTTTCATAGTCTCTCTGTAGGTGAGGCTGGCTGAACTTGGAACCCTACCGCAGTCTCTGGGGGAGTTGGGATTACAGGTATACTGGGCCCTTCTTTGGGAATTTCTTTCTCTGCCCCACCCATCCCACCTCCCTCCCCAAGATGAGGCCTTACCATGCATCCTAGGCTGGCTTGGCTGTAATCTCAAGATCCTCCTGCCTTCAGCTCATTAATAATGGTTTGCAGGTGGGCACAGCTATGTCTACATTGAGATTCTGTTTTAGCTAGAAGCTGTAGCAACTTGTCAGAATCTTTGGTCTGAGGACTAGATGATGCAGTCTGGTACCTTTCCTAGGACATGTCATAGAAATGATTTTCACTCTAGCATCCAAGTCGGGATGTTTAAGACTGATGCTAACAGGGCTGCATGGCCAGTACTTACTCCTATTTCATTGTCTTTTCCTATACCTGATGTGGCGTTTAATTTCATGTTTAAGCTATTTCCCATGTTCTACATCTATAGCTTCTCAATAAAATTTGAAACTGCAGATTAACTTCTTACATATTTTTAATTTTATTATAACTATTTTGTTTTGGTTTTGGTTTTCCAAGACAGGTTTCTTTGTGTAGCCTAAGCTGTCCTGAAACTCGCTCTGTAAATCAGACTGGCCTTGAACTCATAGAGATCCTCCTGCCTCTACCCACCAAGTGCTGGGATTAAAGGTGTACACCACCACTGCCCACCTCTTATTTGTATTTTTGAGACAGGGTTTCTTATGTACCTGTTCTGGAACTCTGTATACCAGACTGGTCTCACAGAGATCACCTGCTTCTGCCTCCAGAGTGCTGGGATAAAAAGTGTCACTAAGCCTAGCTGTAATCTATTTTCAAGCATACCTTGTAGCACTTCATGAAGGATAGTACTATAGAGTATGACAGAAAGTGCCATTGTAATAAAGAATCTGTTGGAACATTTACCAACAAAAAGGTTTTTTGTTTTGTTTTGTTTTGTTATTGACACAGGGTCTCATTGTGTTACTCTGGCTAGCTAGGCTATGAGAACCAACCTGGCCTTGAACTCACAAAGATCTGCCTGTTATTGTCTATGATTAAAGGCATGTGACACTCCACCCAGAACAACAATAGGTCTTATTATCCACCAATTGGAAAATGATTTTCTATAGTTTCCTGCCTTTCTGTTGCTTTTACCTCATACCCTTTTGAGGATATTCATAAATCAGGCAGCTTTGGGAAAATAGTACCTCTCTTCAGAGACATGCTTATAAAAGGTTCTGGTTGCCAAACTCGGGAGTCCTGTCTTGGACACATGCAGCTGCTGTTTGGCCCTCTTTGTTTGGGGTTTTGCATTGAGTCTTAGGTTATTGAAGCAAAACTGATATTCTTACTCCAGCTACTGTTGGGAAGAATGAACTCCTTTGTGTATGCCTGACCCAGAATCTTTTGTTGTCTTCCAGTATCTGAAACCAGCAAGTTAGTGTGTTGCTTGAAAGTAGGATACAGTTGAGGTCCCTCACGGGTGTGGCTTTTTTTCTCCCCAAACTTAGACTCGCCAGTGCTGGCTACCATACCTAGCCCTTCACAGTTCTTGACATTCTTAATTTTAAATAGTTACTCAGCAAATTAGTGTGTATCTGAATTTAAATTCTATTTAAATAGTAAAGATTTTATTTACTTGAACTTGTAATTAGTGTGTATTTAACCACCTAAAAAGGTGGTTAGATAATATTAAGTGACTTCCCCCTCCTTTTCTATCACTAGTCTTTGCTTTATAAAGAGAGTAGTTTATGGAAAATAAAATAAGATGTCCTCAATTATACTTCCAGAGAAAGAGTACTTTTATCTTTATGCTCTTTATAGTCTTCCAGTGTGGTCTGGGACCTGTAACAGTCGTGGAGTGCCCTGAATGGAAGCAGGGCATGTTAGATAGACTCCTCTGTGTACAGTGGGAACCACTGCCCTTTCTGCTGAGAAGTCCTGGATGCTGTTCCACATTCTGGTGGAAATTAGAAATTTTCAGCAGCACAAGTCACTTGAGACAGCTATCCTGGATCGGATTGAAAGAGAATTGATTGTAGGCATTTTGTCTACTATAGTTGTACTTTGATTTATTTATTTAAAAGTTTTTATTTTTCCCTTCAGGATTTACGAGGGGTGCAGATCCTGGAATGCCTGAACCTTCAGTTTTAAGGTATTGCTCTTGAATATCAACATTTTGAAGGCAGATGCTCATACATTAATTGGTGTTGAATCATTGGGAAGTGATGACCCATAATTTTATCGGTTACTATAGTCTTTAGGTTGTTGGAAGAAAAATTGTAGATTAGTCAATTTATATTAATTACTGTGTAGCTGCTTTGCTTTCTTCCCCATCTTTATTTACTATGTTATAGTCATTATGTTAAACATTCTAAAAAGAATTAGTTTATCACTTTATTACATGGAAGGGTAATCTTTTTTTAATATTTTATTTATTATGTATACAACATTCTGCTTCCATGTATATCTGCACACTAGAAGAGGGTACCAGATCTCTTAATGGATGGTTGTGAGCCACCATGTGGTTTCTGGGAATTGAACTCAGGACCTCTGGAAGAGCAGTCAGTGCTCTCAACCTCTGAGCCATCTCTCTAGCCCCCGAAGGGTAACCTTTTATATCATAGTCTAACGGAGATACATAGAATTTCACCTAAAAGTAAAATTAATAAACCATATGTTTTTCACTTGTCAGTTACTTAGGTTTTTCAGTATTATGTATAACAACATAACTTTTCAAAGTTATTGTTGTTGATTATTTTATTCTGTGTATAAGTGTTTGATTGCATTTATGTCTGTACCTTGTGCATGCCTGTGACCATGGGGACCAGATGAGGGTGTCAGATCCCTTGGAACTGGAGTTACAGACAGTTGTAAACTTGTTTATAATGTTGGGAATTTAATCCTGGTTCTCTGGAAGAGCAGCCAGTGCTCTTAGCTGCTGAGTTACCTGTTTAGCTCCCCAAGCATTTTACTGCACATGGCTTTTGTTTATTTTGTTTCTTCATAATAAGTTATTTTGAGATTAATAAATTGAAGTCTGTTAATAATTATAGCTCCCAAATTGCATTGTCACGTTTGTTACCCAGTAACAGTCTTGTTGGTATTGCGTAAGCTATTTGAAAATTTCAAGCACACAATGTGCATGTTTGTGTGTGTGTGTGTGTGTGTGTGTGTGTGTGTGTGTGTTCATCTATTAGTTCACTTTCTATTGTGATTTGTTAGTGAGTTTATAAAGAGGAAAGTTTTGTTTGGCTCACATTCAGAAGCATTGGCCCTGTTGCCTTGATTGTGGTAGTACAGTTCATGGCAGTAGTAGGAGTGAGAGGATGCCTTCTCACCTCCTGGTGGTGGGGAAGCCAAGAGAAGATGGGCTAGAGTCTCAATATCCCCTTGTGGGACATGCCCCATGATCTCACTTCCTCCCCAAAGCTTTGCCTCTTAAAGGTTCTACCACCTTACAGTATTCTTTCAGGCGGTTTAGTACATCTTTATATTTGTGCTTTTAAAATGTAGCAACTAGTGAAAACGATACACAATGTGTGTAAATGCTTTATAAATATTTTTGTAAAAGCACGGTCTAAACAGGTAGGGGTGATCTGGAAGGGCTGGTGTGCCGGTCACTATTGTGACCAGTGGTGCTGAGACAGTTGAGCTGTTTCGCAGACATCCATTATAACTGAAACAGCCTTCATTTGATATACCAGGCTTTCAGTTTCTTCTTTCACTTAAAGAATGGGCCGAAAATACCTTTTTTAAAAAATGGGCAGATTGGGTATTCCTTGTTTGAAATACATATGCTAGAAGTACTTCAAATTTCAAGTTTTCTTTCTTTTTCTTTTTTTTTGGGGGAGTGCTGAGGGATCGAATCCAAGGCTTTGTGCATGTCAGGCAAGCATCATACCACTAAGAGCCACACTCCCAATCCCTCTAAATTATTATTGCAGTTTGCAATAATATTACTCATGGTCACCTACAACGTGGGAGTTATTTTAGGGGCTTTGTATGTTTTGTCTGTAGTTGTCACTTCAGTACCTCCAGAGCAGTACACATAGTTGGTAGGTAATAGAATATCTCCAAAACCTATATAGTCTACACAGCATTGCATAGCCTACTGTAAGTTATCTTACCAACTTTTCCTGTGCTGTGTGATACAAATTTTCTCTACTCTGCTTACTGCTGTCTTTTTTTCAGAAGAGATTTTGCTTTTGAAGAGTACCCACCACTCATGTCCATGATTTAACCAGTGTGCAGTTAAAGTCTTTCCTATTAAAATTCTCAATAGATAGTTCTGACTTTTTTATTTCCTTACTTTATTCTTTCCATTGGTCTGTTTTGACACAGACCAGTGGAAAGAAGGAGTTGAGGCAAAGTCTTGTTTATCCCAAACTGGCTTTGAATTCACTATGTAGATCAGGCTGGCCTTGAACTCAGCCTCCTGAGTACTAGGATTACAGGAATTCGACTCATGGGATGACTTCTTAAAATTGCCTTCATAAGCTGGGTGGTGGTGGCGCACGCCTTTAGTCCCAGCACTCGGGAGGCAGAGGCAGGCATATCTCTGTGAGCTTGAGACCAGTCTGGTTTACAGGAGCTAGTTCCAGGACAGCCTCCAAAGCTACAGAGAAACCCTGTCTCTGAAAAACAAAACCAAAATAAATAAATAAATAAATAAATAAAATTGCCTTCACAGCTCCTCATTAAGTGAGTCCCTTTTTCTTAGCCTTGATTCCTTGAACTAAGTATTTTCCTGTGAAATAAGAGTGAGGTAATATGTCTGCTCTTGACTGGCCTAGTGATTGCAAACCAATTATATCTTTAGAGAAACATTCATTTACGACACATTGCCATTGATGTCATTACTGGATCAAGCTGTGTGAATATTTTCCAAATACTGGAAAGTGTCAAGAACGTTTTCTCAAGAGGCCATTAAGCTTTCAAAGCTTCGGTTCCCCTTTTATAGTTTGGGTATAATATCACCTAAATTAGGTTGCCATGAGAAATGAGTAACAATGTTTTTTTGTTTGTTGTTTGTTTGTTTTTGTTTTAAAGATTTTATTTATTTATTGTGTATACAACATTCTGCTTCCATGTATATCTGCACAACAGAAGAGGGAACCAGATCTCATAAAGGATGGTTGTGAGCCACCATGTGGTTGCTGGGAATTGAACTCAGGACCTCTGGAAGAGCAGTCAGTGCTCTTAACCTCTGCGCTATCTCTCCAGCGCCCATTTTATTGATTGATTGATTGATTTTTGGGGGGAGGGTTGAGACAGGGTTTCTCTGTGGCTTTGGAGGCTGTCCTGGAACCCCCTCTTGTAGACCAGTCTAGTCTCGATCTCACAGAGATCCACCTGCCTCTGCCTCCCGAGTGCTGGGATTAAAGGCGTGCACCACCACCTGGCTATCTCCACTTTTTTTTTTTTTTTTTAAAGAAAGCATTTTTTCTACCCACACGACTGTATGACAATGCAGAATAAACTATGTCTTTGCTCATGTCAGATAACAAAGACATGTGCTCTTAATATCTGGAATCTTTTCCCCCTCAGTTCCACCTGGTGAAACCTGCTTCTAGAAAACCCCAGTCTCAAAAGTCTTCTTGCTGAGTCTTCCTTTGTTCTTTGTTGAAACAGACCCCATGTTTGTATTATTCAGTCTTTCATGATCTGCTTGTTGCTTGTTACACACTTGTCTTATAAGCATGTAAAATAGCTGCTCCACTATTCCAGCATGTAAAATAGCTGCTCCACTGTTCCAGAAGTGAGATGGTACCCTTCTGTTATTCCGAAAATTTTGACTCCACAAAACTACAGCCTAGATGGAGCAGCCTCCTGTACGCATTTTCATTTCTTCACCCTGTCTTTTCATGTTCTTTTCTTTTTTTGTGCTGACAAAAATCTTCCCTTAAAGAAGTGAAGGCTGGGGATTTGGCTTAGTTAGTAGAGTGCTTGCCTAGCACTTGGTTCCTGGCATGAATAAATGAGGCACAGTGGGTCATACCTGTAATCTGAGTTCTTGGGAGTGCAGGCAAGAGGGTTAAAACTTTGGGGTCATATTTGCTACACAGTGAGTTTGAGGTCAGCCTCATTATATGAGACCCTGTCTGGGGGGAAAATTGTTTGCCTGTGAAGGATTGTTCCATTACTAATTTTATCCACTGTGCTTAGGAGACTGACTAGATTTTCCTGAGTTTGCTATTCTGTCCCGCCCCCACCCGTGGCCCCCCAAAAAAACCAAACCCTAGAATTGTGTTTTTTATTAATATAAAATTCACTGTTCATCTTGCCATCTTTTTTTACTCAGGGTAGCACATTGTAAATATGGTCAGTTAAGTGTTGGTTAATAGAAATGTCATTTTTTGTTTTTTTAAGACTAGTCAAGTGCAGTAGTGAGAATCGGAGAAGGAAGTGTAGAGAAGGAGTGCACTTTGTTACTGACTGTGAGCAGTCAATTGAGATAACTCACTGTTATAGTCAAGTGTGAGGGGACCATGGAGGATGCCACAGCAGGCGAGGGTGACCGAGGCGGGGGACAAACAGGCCAGGAAGACAGCTTAAGTGAGAAGTTTTATTAGAAAAGGGAGGGAGAGGGAAGGAAAGAGAAAAGAGGTAAAGAGACATAGAGGACAGAAGAGAAGAGGGAGACAGGAAAAGTCCTCTCTGCCCCTGGGAACATCGGGATAGAGTGTGACAGGAGCTGGAAAAGAGAGTTTAAGTGGGTGGGGGTCTGTCTTTTAAAGGTGTCCTTTGTACATGCGTGCAGACTACACAATCATGGAACCCTGGGCTGACCAGAGTACTGCCTGAGTGCATTCTGCCAGGTGACAGGAGCAAGCCAGCATAATGCCTGAGTCCTTTACACTCACTCACTTTGGAACAGCCAGAAATGTCTTATTCAGAACGAATTATTCTAATGAAGCAATGGTACTAGGTTAGTAAAGCCATATGTGCTTTTTTGTTGTTGTTGTTGTTTTTTTTTTTTTTTCTTTTTGAGACAGGATCTCTTGTAGTTCAGGCTGGCTTTGAAGTCTTGATCCTCCTGCCTCTGTCTCCTGAGTGCTAAGACTATAGGCTTAATCCCTCACACCCAGTTAAAAAATGAGTAAGAAAATAACATTATTTCTGTTATCTGTGTCAGACCAATGAAGATTGTCTTGTTTTCTTTATTTTTGGTTGTTCATCCATTGAGAAAGATATCTGAGTAGGTGAAGAGTTTGTTTCCATAACTTAACTGTATATAAAAATGCTTAGATTCAATGGGAGACTTCAGTTCATATCTGATAGATAATGGTAAATTCATGTTGTGTTTTCTAGGCATAGAATGACCTAAATGGCCTTTAAAAATAAACTACAGAACCTCATTGTTATTAAGTCACTTTTTTTTTTTTTCAAATTTTGTTTTTTCAAAACAGTTTTTCTGTGAAACAACCAGCCCTAGCTGTCCTGGATCTCACTCTGTAGACCAGGCTGGCCTTGAACTCACAGAGATCTGCCTGCCTCTGCTTCCCAAGTACTCGGATCAAAGGTGTGTGCTACCAGTGTCAAGTCGTCGTCACCACAACCCTACCCCCACCCCCGAGACAGGGTTTCTCTGTGACTTTGGAGGCTGTCCTGGAACTCAATGTGTAGACCAGGCTGGTCTCGAACTCATAGAGATCCGCCTGCCCCTGCCCCTGCCCCTGCCCCTGCCTCCTGAGTGCTAGGATGGAATTCGTGTGCCATCACCACCCAGCAAGTCACATTTTTAATCAGTAAAATTTAGACATGAAACATATCTCTTTTCTTTCTTGGATCTGGGTGCCCTCTCTCCCTTTAACAAATGACATGAGAGTTTGTGCCCTTCTTGAATAGGGTAGGAAATAGTAGAAGTGGAAATAGTGGCTAATTGATTCTAGGGATGTGGATAGTTAGGGTTACATCTCATTCTTCCTCCTCTGTCCTGTAGCCATTTCACTGTCAGAATTATGGTAGTTTAGAAGTAGAAATGCCAACTGGATGTAGACTTTCCACAGAGTCTGACTCATAGAAAGTACTTAGGAAAAGGTTTTTTTTTGCTGTTTTATTGATGCTTTATGTAATAATAATAATACAGTTTGATTTGGGCTTCCTGATCCTTTCAGTTAATGAAAATCATTAATCATTTATCTTTTGATTGACTTCATTTTATATATAAACTGCGATTTTCCTTTGTGTTTCTCAAGCTAACCATGTTCAGCAATAACAAAACTGTATTTCTGTGTGTTTGTTTTGTTGCTTATTTTGTCTACTGGTAGATTCTCGTCCTTTAGTCACTGAGTTTGATAAGGAAACACAAATGTAAGACCAGGTTCTTCAGTGGTTCGTGGGAAGTGTTTGTTTCCATTTTTAATTTATTTTTCCTCTTCACAAATGCTTTAGCCTGCTTTGGGGATAAAGGACTCATCATCTGGATTTGGAAGCCATCCAACATGGAAAGTGTATCCTCTGACTGGATAAGAAAGACTTCGTTTCAACACATCTGTGGCTGAGTGGAGCCTTGCTGGCCTATAGTAGACTGTCAAAATAAATATTTTTTAACAATGTTATGTTTTGTCTTTAAACTTTTTAAAACATTTGTGTGTGTAGGGGGTGTGTATGTTGTATCAGTGTGGAAGTCAGAGGACAGCCTACTGCAGAAGTTTGTTCTCTCCTACCATAGGGTCTGGAGATAACGCCAGATAGAACTTGCTGGCAATTGTTTTTACCCACTGAGCTCTGTCTGGTCTGCCCTTGAGCCTTCCTTGAATTAAGTGTGCTGGGATGATCAAGAGAAAAATCATTCCTTAAATAAAAATCTTTTTTTTTTTTTTTTTTTTTTTTTTTTTTTTTTTTTTAGAATAGGAAATCTATGTGTATGTTTGGATACTGCTTTAAAAGGTAAAAACCTGGGGCCAAGGAGATGGCTGAGTGGTTAAGAGCATTGGCTGTTCTTCAGAGGACCCAGGTTCAATCCCCAGCAACCACATGGCAGCTCATAATGGTCTGTAACCCCAGTTTCGGGAGATGCAACACCCTTATGCAGATAGATATACATGCAGGCAAAAACACCAGTGCACGGAGCAAAAAAAAAAAAAAAAAAAAAAAAAAAAGGTAAAAACATTTTCAAGTGAATTCCTGGTAGTTCCTTTGTCAAACTGATTGTAGTTTCTGTTTGCAGTGAATTAGTAACTGGAGAGAGTGGGAATGGTTCAGTTTGTGATAGACTAGGATGTTCTACTGCACTCAGGAAGTTCTGACTGTAAGAAATGAGGGTTTAGTGTCTTCCAGGGTATGGGATGGTATTGGGGAATTGTGTCTGATTTATATGTAGGTTAAATATGAGTCTAGAGTTTTCTTGGGTATATGCATATCATAGTAGTGCTTCTTCCAGTAGAAGAAAATGGTGTTAATGGAACAAGTCAGTTCTGGATACTGGTTTCCTGGGACTTCTCATATTTTATTTTGACTTTTTTTTAAATTTTTTAGAAGTTTATTTGTGCAGTCCCAGCTGTCCTAAAACTCACCCTATAGACCAGGCTGGCCTTGAACTTGAGATTCACCTGCCTCTGCCTCCTATGTGCTTATTTTGACCTTATTTTATTTTTGGAGAAAGTCTTGCCTGATATTCCAGACTGACCTTGAACTCACCATCCTGCTGTCTTCTCCTTTAGAACTGGGATGTACCGCTTGCTTGCCTTTCACTATATTTGAAGCCTGCTTTTTCTTTAGCCTTTTTGTTCTAACAAAGTAACTATTTAATTGGAAGTTATAATTAATGAAACAAGATAGAACCTAAACCAGCTATGGCATCATTTGGGAAGGGCCATTGATGGATGTCTTAACACCTACAGTGACCATCTCTCTTTCTCTCTGCTTCTCTGCTTCTCTCCCTCCTAAAAACAAAAAATAAAAAAATAGAATGACCATTACCAAAACCAACCCCCTGTGTTTCTAATGGAAATACCTCTTGGCCAGAGAAGTCTGTGTCCTCAAGTTTGCTGTGGAGACAGAGGTCTGGAGGCTTACTGCATGAATTATGCAATATTTTAAATGGAATCCTTGGGCGATAACTAGGAAACCATTTTTATAAGCATTGTTTCAACATCTCTGAATTTAGGCATATATGGTTTTGATAAAAACTGAACTTCAGTTTACAGTCCTCTGCTCCATTCTTTTCGGTTACATGTGTTTATTGTCAGTAAATTTCTGTTCCAAATACTTAATTTTCCAAAAATTAGTATTTTGGTGGACCTTTTGTCAAGCAGGGTTTCTAGAATTGTGGAAGTAAAGCTGTGGGGGCTGTTTGTTTTAATGAAACAGTAATAGAGATAGTTAGTATCTGCTTTGATATTCTTTGAAAGTTTACCTTAAGCTGACTATACAAGATTGTGAATGAATCTGGGTGTCTTCAACAGTGAGTGACTCTAAACTGAGCTTAGTATTTTGGAGTCATTGCCTTTAGTATGAAAAAGGCAGGACTTGTAGCTCAGTTGGTAAAGTACTTGCCTAGTGTGCAGAAAGCCACAGGTTGATCACCAGAACGGCCAAAAACAAAGATACATAAAGATTTTTCTGTTTTTGCCCAGTTTTCCATGGCAGTAAAACCTTCTAATTCCTTCTATATGGAGTATTAAGTAGGTTTTTGGTACTGACCAGTCAGAATGGAATACTTCAATGCAGGGTGTCTCCATATCGTTCCCACTTACAGCCACCCCTGCTTCCGTCCCGCCCCTGTCCCTAACCTCTTGGTAACTTGTTACCTGTTTTTTTTTTTTTTTTTCTATACTTGCCATTTCAAGCAACTTTATAAAGAAACTTTATAAACTTTTTTGGATTGTCCTTTTTTTCCATTTTCTTTTCTATATGACAGAGCTTCATTCCCTTATGTTCATGACACAGATGTGGATTATCAACCTGATAGTACACACATGTAAAGTTGTGTCTTTTACCTGTAGAATATAAGCCTCACAGATGTAGTGCTGTGTTGTATATTTAGAGCCTATCATAGGTGTTCAGGAAGAAGGAAGGAGGGAATTATGGGATTGTCTATATTAAGTGTAAAATGCTTGTGAATGGAAACTCGAATAACTTGAATCCTTGTAAAGGGTTAATATTTTTCTCTGTTCCAATCATAATGGGTGATTGTAGTCCACAACAGGACATGACATAAGATGTTAGGGTCACACAGGCAAGAGAATATTTACTATGACATGTTACTTTATACATTTAGTCTCCACAGCAGTGTGCTTAAGTAGGATATTATCTTCCTTTTTAAGATACAACAAGCTTGGATAATTTTCTCCCAAATTAGAGAAACAAACAAATTTGGATTTGAACACATGTTGGCTAACACTAAGAGATTGTGATCTTATTATAGACATGTACTAACTTTCAAAATAATTTATGAAGTGATTAGGTTTTATAGTAAATTTTTAAAAATGCTAACATTTCAAGTATAATAGGGAGCCCACACATTTTGCCTACCATTCAGGACTTCAGATACAAATAACACTTAGATAAGTTCACATAAAGCTAACTTTGAGACTATTATGCCTGCTATTTGAAACAGTAAACATTTTTTTCCTGTTCTCAAATAGTTTGCATTTTAAAAGTTTCTTATTAGCATATATTACTTATACACAAGTGGGCTCCATTGTGACAGTTTCATACACATATACAATTTATTTTCGTATTTACTCTCCAGCATCTCTCTTCCCATTCTTGCTTGGTCCTCTTTCTCTTTCCAACTAGTACTCTTTATATTTTCTTGCCTTTTTCTTGTGAATTATTGAGTTTGGTCAGGACCTTACACAGAGAGCATGAGTGAGGGGTAAAGATGAATGGCAGTTTGATCTAGACCACTGAAGGAAATGTCTCTCCCTCTCCTAAGAGCCGTTAGTTGCCTTTAAATCTTCAGGGATCTGATGAGCCAGCCAGGACGGGTCTCCTGCCCCAGCCATTAACTGCTTATAAATTCTCAGGAAGAGGCAGAGATTTGTGAGCTCTTCCCATACCAGAATGTTGATGGACCCAGTGTCATGTGGGAAATCACAGCTGATGAGAGCTCAGGAGTGCAACAGCCATGCCATTCCCAGAAGACAATGCTCCATAAGACTCTGTCTCCTCTCCCATGAGTCTTTGCTGAGTCTTGGAATGGATGACCTAGATGACCCATCTAATAGTTGCCTGATAGGAGAGATAACATGATCCTGAAGGTGATTTTCCCAGGGTAAGGCTTATCCATTACACTCTAGGTGTAAATAAAAGATGGCCCATCTAGAGCTGGCTCACATTTATCCTCAGACTTTTGATTCTGCAGTAACTGCTGCACACTGCACAAAGAAGCTTTCTAACCAAAGCTTACAGTGTAACTAGTCTGTTTGATAGGCATATCATTTCCATATTAGACACCGCTCCAAAAACAAAACCCCATAGTAGATTCTCTATGAGGGCCCATGACCTCCGAGGCCAGGTGTTTTTGTCCAGATTTACAGTACTATTCCCCCTGTGGAACAAGCCAAAAATCCAACCAAAAAAAGCTGATTATCGTATAACAGTAATGCCACTATAATACAAATGGACACATCTTGCCTGCCATGCTAGTACTGTAGCACACGGTCCACAACTTAATAGGACTGCCAGTGACAATTCTCCAGCCTACAAAGCATCTTCTGGAGCTACAAAAGCCAGCATGGAGGAAGCTTTCAAATGAGCTTGATTTCAGTATATTCTGTAACCAAACTTTGTGTTGGCCTCAGCAATAGAGTCTTACCATCAAGTTCTGTCCCTGCTAGATCTTTGGGACCCATCCTGTGACTCTACAGTGTAGCGCTAAGGATTGAGAAGAGTTTCTGTGCAATTTCTGAAGTTTATTCTCCAGAGTTTTCTTTGGTGTAGTTGTATAGGCTAGGTTTTTTGTTTGTTTTTTTGTTTTGTTTTGTTTTGTTTTGTTTGTTTGTTTGGTTTGGTTTGGTCTGGTTTGGTTTGGTTTGGTTTTTCGAGACAGGGTTTCTCTGTGTAGCTTTGGAGCCTATCCTGGCACTCTGGAGACCAGGCTGGCCTCGAACTCACAGAGATCCGCCTGCCTCAGCCTCCCGAGTGCTGGGATTAAAGGCGTGCACCACCAATGCCCGGCTTAGGTTTTATTTTTGTTTTGTTTTGTTTTTGTTGTTTTTTTTTTTGTGTGTGTGTGTGTGAACTTGACACAAACTATAGTTATCTGGGAAGAGGAATTTCAAATGAGAAAATGCCTTCTTCCCGATTGCCTGTAGACAAGTCTGTAGGGCATATTCTTGATTAATGATTGATGTGTGTAGGCCCAGCTCATAGGGAGCAGTGCCAATCCGGGGCAGGTGGTCCTCAGTTATATAAGAAAGCAGACTGACTCCTCCCAACCAACTGGCTCCTCCCATACCACATCCAACCTTTCCACCCAGCCAGATGCTGCACATTCACCATCGTCTAGCCAGGTGAGTCTGCTTGACCCCCAAACTCTTCTCAAACCCAAATCTTCCTTTCAGCTCAGGTTTGGAGGAGGGTGCACATCATGCATACCAACACAGACGGC